CAGTTGCTCAGTTCTGCGTTCTTTTAAAAGATGGCTGCTGACTAATCTCAGCCCACTCTTGTGGATACAAAGTGAAGTTTAAGATAGTGGTAGATGAGAGAGGTGGGACTTTGAAAATGCAGAGCTGTAATAAGGAAATAACTAGGTTTGCTCTGAGAATGCAGCCAGGGGGTTGGAGTAAGATTCTTAGAATAGCTGTTATTTCCCTCGGGCTCTTGTGGGATCGTGAGTGTGCAGAATTTGTGAACTCCAGGACTTTGGGGGTAGGGGTGACGGGAGTGACGATGGGAAGGACAGGGAGAAAGGGTGTGAGCCCAGCTGACGTCTCCGTGTGGCCCAAACACAAAGGCAATGGAGGTGACCAGTGTAAACGGGCATTCGGGGTCGGCTCGGGAAGGACCTTACCGACCTGCCACAGGATATAGGCTTTCATCTTGTGCAGGATATTTGTCAAGGGGAGATTTTATTTTATGACATGCATGGTAGCAGTGTGCAGGCTGGGGAAGAAGAGTCACAGTGCACAGAAAAGAGGGTTTTCCTTTTGTATTTGGGGGACATTAGGGAGGAATCAGCAGATCACAGTCAACGGAGAGAAGATAAAACAATAGAAAAATAGTAGGAATAAAAATTAAATCACAAAAGCCAGTCAAATAGACCTGGAAGGAATATGATTTAGAACAGGCATTCATGAGATAGGGTTATCAGGTAAAATCAGGATGCCCAGTTAAATTTGAATTTCAAGTGAATAATGAAGTTTTTTTTTTTTTTTTTAGTGTCCATATGCCCCATGAAATTATCAAGACATACTTTCAACAAAAACTATTTTTTGTTTGCTTGAAATTCTGATTTAACTGGGTGTGCTATTAATTTTATTTGGGAAGTGCTTTAATCCTAGTATGCTAAAAAGGTTGTGAAAAGGCTTGGTGGTCAGACTCAGTGATCTGGTCCTTCTCTTGATGATATTGACGATAGGGTATAACCATATTTGTTTCAAGGTGTGCATTTATATATATCCCAGGGAGATATAGACCTTTGGGGAGTCTTTTCTATATTTAAGTGACTGGTAAGGATTTTACCTTAGGAGATTTAAAGTTACTTGATCGAGAAGAAAAGGGGAGCTATAAAGAAGGGAAAATTCAGACTCCTGAAAGCATCTAACACTCAGCAGACTGGACGGACAATGTCTTATGTATTCCAGGAAACAAACGGGGGTGTCACCCCCGCCGAGAGGGGTCATCAGTTGCTTCGTGTGAACAAGGCTGAGCTGCCACTGTTGTTTATGCCGTTGATGTACAGTGGCCCCTGTGTTCTGGCTTCTCTTTTTATTAGGACTGTAAAAGCATTATAACCCCCCAACAGTAAACACTTCCAAGAGTGTGAAGTCATAGTAATATGACCTCATAGGGAGCCAGCCAGGTCCTTGGAAGCCCTGTGAACCAGCAGACAGTGGTGCTGGCGGGGGGTGGGGGGGTGGGTGGCGAATCCTGGGGAGGGGCTGCTGAGAGGAAGGATGGCCTGGGTGCCCCGTCGGCTCCAGGATGGCCTCTTGGTGTCTGTCATACTGCTGGTGAGTCAGTACTGCCATCACACTTCCAGGCTTTCTGAGTCCGAAAGCACAGCCTCTCTGCTTGTAATGGGGTGGAATGAAGCCATCTAGGATTGCAAATGCTTATCTTCATTTTATTCCTTACTTCCCTCTTCTCTGAAGTTTTTTCAAGAAGAGTCAGAAAAGTCTGACTGGTACAAGATTTTTAAATTACCTCCTCCTGGGGAATGTGAGGAAAATGAGGTGAAATAGACTGGCCAGGACAGGCAGAGAGGCAGTAAACACGAGACATGGGAAACGTAAGGAATAGGAATCAATACTGCATTTTAAAATTTCTTGTATTTTTAAGTACCTCTAATGAATGTATTTGTTACGATAAGCCTCTTGTATTTGAACACCATCATTGCAGTACTATGTATGTAGTGTAATTACGCTGTTTTCATGGAGTGACTAAATGCATGCCATGAGTTTGCCCTGAGAAGTAAGCAATAATAAGTAGCGGTTTATTTGAGAAGAAAAATCCTTTCTTTGACATTGTTTTTTTTCTGCAGAATCACTAACATGCAGAGGAAGAGAATATATGGGGGCACCACTCCACGGGTTTTCTTTTCATAATTACAAAGACTACTTGACTGTGAATAAAAGAGTTCTTAGAGTAAATGTTTCATACTTCCACCATTTACTTGGGGAAACACAAAGGGTGAGGTGACCTTTAAAAGAAATAATTTTCTATGAATTTGCTTACAGGTTTGCTGTATATAATAATTAAAGAATTCAATTGTCTGATAGGATAAATTTCACAAAACCATTTGGTAATGTGAACTTTATAAAGGAAGGTTTACAATGAAAACAATATTTAAATGTATTTATGTGAAGATTTTATTGCAATAAGGCAATTTATTTTAATTGGTGGGTCTTTCTATTGGAAAATTGTTTAAGGTGGCTGATTGTTTAGGGAGGGTTACCAAATGTCTTAGTTTGCCTGGGTGGATTCCCGTTTGTGTCCGTTGTCTTGGCATGGACTATGGTTTAGCATTTGACTTCGACTTTAGAAAAATGAAGCATTATTATCAATGGTTACAGTAAAAGAAGTCAGCACAGGTTTGCACACCTCCACTTTGAACTTTCAGCTTCTCCACAGTCACTTCTGTAGTGTGTGAGCTGATGTGTTGAACAGAAATTTCACATGGTTTGGGTGTAAAAGACTTGTGCAGTGCTTGCTGATAAGTGGGCTTGGCGAGAGGCTGCGAGGGACTGTGACCCCTTCATGTCCAGCAGTGGCTGGGGGCACCGGGACCCTACAGCCCCAGGCAATCCTTGGTCACCAGCTGGCTGTGCAGAAGCTGCCGCTCAGATGGCGGGTCGGAGCGGCATGGGACGTTGTGACTTAGGTAGATAGGTGCCAAGGTAGAGCTTGAGCAGTTCTGCTTGAAAATGTCTTCCCTGTGCTGTAAGGATTTTTTCAAGTTTACAACTAGTTTTTTGTTTTTTTTTTTTGGTAATTTTCTTCCCCCATTGTAACCACATATTTAGTGATTCTACCATCTGTGTTTCCTTCTCAGACTGTCCTGCTTTGGACAGTCAGTGATTCTCTGCTTATAATTCAGGACAAGTTAAAGAGCTGTGGAGTAGGGCAAGGGAATTCAGACTAGGATTCCTGGCGTTTACATTATTGAAAGGTTGTGAAAGAACAACAAAATCAAAAAAAGCATGTGTGACAGCGAGCTTATGTGGCCTGCAAGCCTGAAATAGTTACTCTCTGGTTCATCACAGCAAAAAAAAAAAATCTTTGCTTTAGAGTCCACAGTAAGTGTGCTGGAAGGCTCCTCAAGCACAGCTGTTCACCTCGGGCATAGCTCTGCGTTGTCAGAAGTCGAAATGAAGGTCTGGGGATCATCGCGTTTTCGGTGCTGGTGTCAGAGGCATGTGCAGCGGCGCCCAGCTAGAGCCGAGCTTCTCACATCGTGGTTGCGTGGCTGCCTGGGACCCTTTCGGTGGGTTTGTGAGGCCAAAATTATTTTCTAATAACAGTGCAGCCCTGTTTTCCTCTGTCACTCTGTGGATAGCAAAGCTGATACACGCCGACTATACAAAAGCAGTGACAGAAGCCCCAGTGCCAACCAAGGCAGTGGCTCCACGCTGGTCCAATGTGTTTTACTCTTCTCTGCTGTGCGTTCAAAAGAGAAATGAAGGCCGGTTTCACCTCATGATGTCCTTGATAAAGCAGTGCCAGTTAATTACTTTTCAGCCCTTGGCTACCTGCCATTTCATTTCACGTGCAGTGAAATGCAAACTCTACTTGAAGCACTCTAGAAAAAGCACTCATGTAGTTTGAGTTGTGAGCTTTACGCTGGTCACTTTTTTCATGGAAATGCCATTTTCTTTCAAAGTCTAACTGATAAACTGGCTTTGGCAAACATTTTCTTGAAAACTAATGGAGTGAGCCTATTTAAGGAAAACAACTGTTGTTTTTTTTGTTGTTGTTTGCAGTGATAAAATTTAAGTTTCAATCAAAAATTAGAGTTTTGGAAAACTTGTATCTACCAGCAAGTTTAGCAGCTTCCCAGTACTTAGCAACTTTTCTGAGGATGTTAGTGGTAATGTTAGTAAATTTCTTTTTTAAATAATGAAATGTGTCAGCAAATATTCTTCAATTGACCAATTTATGTTGCAGAATCATGCCTGGGTAAGATGCTTTCAAAGTGTGGGACATTTTTAATGTAAGAGTACAAAAAACTCATTGATAGAAGTTTAGATTCTATCAGTATATTACAACTAACTTTTAAGAAACTACCACTTGTTTTATTTTGGCATAATATCAAAAAGCAATATCCACAATTAAGGATATTAAAGTGCTCCCTAGTTTTCTATTTCTGTGGAGGCCAGATTTTCTTGATATTTTCAGCCACAATGACGTATTGTTGATGATCTAATGTAGAAGTGACTGTGAAGTCCAGCTGTCTTCTAGTTGCATCAGACATTAAAGAAATTTATAAAAGACATAAATTGCTCTTGCTTATCTCTTTACAATTTATGCTATTGTTTTAGAAAATATAGTTATTTTTAATTAAATATGTTATCTATATTTGTGAAATGGATTTTTTATTAAGTGAATATTTGAACTTTTCCATTTTAATTACTCATGCAGTGAATATCAGTAGACATAACCCACATACACAAAGGTCTTTGAAGTCTTCTATACTTCTAAGAATATCAAGGTTTGAGACCAAAAGGTTTGAGAACTGCTCATCTAGGGTTTAAGCAATCACTTCTCTAGTATGTTAAAATAGAGTAACAGAATATTTTTATTAATAATTAAGCATAAGATATATCATTTAAAATAGTTTTTCATTTGTTCTACAATATCATGATGATTTCCTTAGCTATTTTCCTTTTTGTCCCACAAAAACAATCTTTTCTATTCTTTTGTTTCCTTCTCTATCAATTCTTACAGCAATGCTGGGTTGAAGACAGCTCAGCCAGAGGCTCATTCTGAAATGGGGAGCACTGAAATTCTGGAAAAGGAGGCCTCAGAAAGTCTCAGTAACGGTACCAGCAGCAACATAGAAGCAGCCAAAAGGCTGGCCAAGCGCCTTTATCAACTCGACAGGTTCAAAAGGTCGGACGTGGCAAAGCACCTAGGCAAGAAGTACGTCCCGTTCCAGGGCTGCTGCCAGAGTGCATCCTCACACGCGTGTGTGTGTGCGTGTGTGTGTGTGTGCACCTAGGCAAGAAGTACGTCCCGTTCCAGGGCTGCTGCCAGAGTGCATCCTCACACGCGTGTGTGTGTGCGTGTGTGTGTGTGTGCACCTAGGCAAGAAGTACGTCCCGTTCCAGGGCTGCTGCCAGAGTGCATCCTCACACGCGTGTGTGTGTGCGTGTGTGTGTGTGTGCACCTAGGCAAGAAGTACGTCCCGTTCCAGGGCTGCTGCCAGAGTGCATCCTCACACGCGTGTGTGTGTGCATGTGTGTGTGTGTGCACCTAGGCAAGAAGTACGTCCCGTTCCAGGGCTGCTGTCAGAGTGCATCCTTACAAGTGTGTGTGTGTCTGTGTCTGTGTGTGTGCGTGTGTGTCTGTGTCTGTCTGTGTGCGTGTGTCTGTGTCTGTGTATGTCTGTGTGTGTGTGTCTGTGTGTGCGCGTGTGTGTGCATGTGTGTGCGTGTGTGTGTGTGTCTGTGTGTGTGTGTGCGCGCGCACCTAGACAAGAAGTACGTCCCGTTCCAGGGCTGGTGTCAGAGTGCATTCTTACAAGCGTGTGTGTGTGTCTGTGTGTGTCTGTGTGTGTTCTGGTGGCTTCAGTTTTAATAACCAAGTCTATTTTGTTTTCTTACAGCAATGAATTTAGCAAACTAGTTGCAGAAGAATATTTGAAGTTTTTTGATTTTACAGGAATGACACTGGATCAATCTCTCAGGTATGATTAAATGTCACCTGTTCTTTGCTTCTAAATAATTAATTCTGAGAATAGAAAATGATGTGCTGAGGGTAAAGTCTGATTCTTACATTTTTAGACCCACAGTTACTTTGTGACCTTAGCTCAGAGTGTATCATGGAGAGTAAACATTGTGGAAAGTGGGGAAAATGTATTGTCTTTGTGAAATTACATATGAACCCATATTCTGCACGAAGTATATGACAGAGTAAAGAATAGCTGGCAAAGTAAGTCTTGGAGAAATGGAATCCATGGGAATTTGGTTTTTGAATGATCAAATTTTTTAAAAAGGCACAGTTTATAGACTGCAGAATTAAAGACTTTTCTCTAATTATTTGTTTACAATAGCCTAATAGCTTTTTCAAAGAGTACTTTGAAATTACCTAATGAACAGGATAAAAATCAATATCAGGATAATCAGCAGAAAGTATCTGTAAAACCATTTTAGTCAGTATTACTTGTTGCTGATCTGTTCAAATGGGTTTGGAAACACACTGACCCTCACGTCTCACACCATACTGTACTGTCAATTTCTAAGCGCAGCTGAAGGTAAAACCCAGCCAGCATTTAATCTTATAAACTCAGAGCCTGGAGGAGCTCTGAGATCATCTTGTGTAACACTCTAGTTTTACAGATCAGAAAACTGAAGCCTGCGAGGTAAAGTGAAGATGTTCAGTTAGAATGCACAGCAGTGAGTTAGTCTCCGGCTTTTTGCATGAATCAGGGGTACTTAGAGGTTTTCTGATGAAAACAGGTAAAAAGGTAGGGGAAAGATCTATATTTTTTCTTTGCTTTCTCATGTGGTTTATTAAAAAAAAATTAAGAGAAATTAAAGTTAGGTCAGTATAATATAGATTAACTGCAAGTAAGGAAGTCAGCAACATTTTCATCATCAAATATGGTTTATGATATGTTTCTTTCAAAAGCAGGTTTTCTTAGGACATTTTAAACAATTTTTTTCTTTCTCATCTCATATTTAGGGCAATGCATTACTTTGTCGAGTGAGAGTCCTGGATACATCTCTAATAGACAGTGCTCTCAGTGACTCTGATCTAGATTGTCGTTCCTAATTCAAAAAATAAATTAGGGTTTTATTTTCCATTCTCTTCCTCACATAGCAAGTTAAAGATAGACTGTGGTAATAATAGGCAAAATAAAATGAACAGAAATCTACTTGCACAAGACAGTATAATTGTAATTTTAATAGTGGGTCAGTGGTGATTACCGTCAAGTAACAAAATGACAAAGAAACCCTGTGATCTTTGTCAAGTTTTAAGACATAGATCACGTGGTTATGCATCCAGACCTCAGTGTTCCTTAGTTTTTTCTGACTCATCTTTAAAAATGGCTTCTTGACATCATATGTGGAAATCACCCACCTTCCCAAGCCTGTTTTTTGATGTATTGGCCACCATGCTGTTGCTCTGTCATCTTTTATATAGACATTTCCTATAATAATAGCATCAATATAGATTTATGTTGAATAACCATCTAGTGATTTTTAAAGAATAACTGTAAAATATCTTACCTTGTATTATTAGTTTCTTATGTTTCTATGAATTAAGTTTAACAGTCAAACAGTATAGTCACATTTTCTAAAAATTCACCTTTTCCCTTTTAACTCTTTTTTAGGTATTTCTTTAAAGCATTTTCTCTTGTGGGAGAAACCCAAGAACGAGAGAGAGTTTTAGTACACTTCTCCAATAGATATTTTTACTGTAACCCAGATACCATTGCTTCACAAGGTAATCTGATGGAAATGCTTAAATTTCTTCTTTATAACAAGGGCTATTTTTCTCAATATAAAGGTTACATTTTATTGTGGGAAATATAGAAAATTATGCAGAAGAAAATGAAAATCATCAAGTTATGTCTAATTGCCTAGAAATAACTGTTAGCAGTTTGATTTACTTCCTTTTAGTCTATTTGCACACTACTTTATGTCAAGTTGGAATCATTACAGAATTTTGTTTCCTACTGTCCTTCCCTTGCCTGGTGAGCATCCCTCATGTCATCAAATATTCTTTAAAAACCATGATATTTAATGACTGCTTGATATTCATTACTCCTGCAGTTTCACTTTATTTTCCATCTCCATAGTATGACAATATACTTTCTTTAAATCGCTTATGGTTTGTCACTGAGATTTTAATGTCCATGCACACTGTAATAATGAAAAGCTAGCTTTCCACTTTCTTCTTCCCATACACCTGAATTTTAAGCTTCCTGATGAAGTGCATGTGTAGTTTTATGGTTAGTTCCAGAAACATTTGCAAATCTCACTGGAGTGTGTGGTATATCTCCAGTGCTTTCTTTGGGCATTCATTTTTACAACACTGACCACTGACTCAGGTTTATGATTTTAATGACCTATATTTGTGTTTACTATTTTAAAAAGCAACTTTAAGCTATTTAATTTTTTATATACTTTATGAAGAGAGATCATTTCTTCATTTCAATTCTTATAATAAGGCCAAGCTTTCAGGGTTTAAAATAAAAAAATATTCACTTCCAACTGGAGTATCTTTCATAAACCTAAGAATTCTAGACTAAGTCACTGAGACTAGATGCACTAGGAATTATAATTGTCTCTTAACATCTGTATGGCCAGTTAACATTGTGTCAGTGTTCTTTATATTGATGAAAGTGGTTGTTCCTGCTGCCTCTGCCCTGCAGGCTGTAGCTAAATTAATTGTCTGATTGTTAAAGTCATGTTCTCATCTGTAAAATGGGAACTGTCTTTCTTTATTCTTTTGACTCTGCTAAGACCATTTATTCACTGTATCACTGTTGGTCTTGACAAGAAAATGAAAGGTATAGAGGTGAATTGTTTTTGTTAGAAGCTTCTTCAAATCTGAGAAGACCCTGACATTCCTAAGTGAAGCAGGGACTATGGATTTGTGTACTCAGCTGGCTGTTGACGAAGATATTTGAGAGTTGTTTGCAGAGTTTTAGAAATACTTTGAAGAACCTGTTTTTATATGTATTTAGAATACTGGAATAAGTGAACATTTAGGCGTTCAGCAGCATCTTCTTAGAGATATTCTACTTAGAGAAATCACCTACTGAACTCAAAGGCATATTTTGGAAAATGAGGCATCTTTGATTCATGAGTTCAGCAGTTGGACAAACCTTTTTGTACATTTAGTATAAATTAATAAGACTTTTCTCCCATCTGCAACTGCTGTACTGTGCTTGGATTGAGAGCTGCAGGGAGAGAATAGAGCTTTTTCTTTCTCTTTATAAAGTAAGAAGAGAAAGTGATGTTTCCATGTAAGTGTGAAATGATCTTGCTAATTGGGTAATGCATTTCCTTTAAGTAGTTAATTTTTAAATCTTCAGTGATTATTTCAGTATTTCACTTTTGTCTGATCAGTTGTATCTGGGCCAGTCAACCTAAATGTTGCCTTAAAGGAGTGGCAAGTGGAAGGATAACTATTCCTATCTATATATTTTTAGCCAGAGAACTAATACCCAAAGAGTAAACAGTGGAAGATGCACATCTTGGTTTTCTTTAACTTTTGTTTCTTTCTTAATTCACTTTCTTTCTAGAAAATAAAATTTTAAAAAATAACAGCATTAAATACTTTATTTTCTTTTCCATATCTTATAGAAAATTGAGAAACCATAAGTGAAAAGAGTAAAATTATAATTTTATTATCCAGAAATAATAATATCTTTTAATATTATGTTATAGATCATTCTAGATGTATTATATTTAAGTTGAATCATACTGGATATAATTATTGTGAAATATCTTTCTATTTCAACGTGTGTACTTGGACAACATTTTTAATGACTTCAATGTAACAGAATTGTGTTTTGGTGGGTCATATTCACTCACTCCCATTGTCAGCAAGCTTCCTTTAGCTTGCTTGTATTTTGGATAGCTTGTATTTTGGGTAGCTCTTTTATTTCATTAGTATTAATATGAAGTCTCCGAAGTGGATTTGCTGTGTCAAAGGACACTGTTTCAAAGCTTGAGACATTTACTGTCAAATTGTCCTTCAGAGGTAAGACTAATTCACTTCATCACCAGTAGAGTTCAAGTCTGTGCACTGAGATTCTTTTAACAACGTTTTCTTATCTGTTTTCTGTTTCCCCAAATGAATATGATTAGTTGTGCCTAGCCACAGGATTGTGTTTTCATAGGTTCTCAATTAAGCATAGGTATGCTGTGTTGATAATGTTGAGCGGTCCAACAGGAACTAGTGAATTAATGCTTTCTGTCCTGTCTCTTCTGTTAGATGGAGTCCATTGCCTCACCTGTGCAATGATGCTGCTTAACACAGATCTCCACGGCCATGTAAGTGTAGGGGTGTGGAGCTGTCTTACAGAGAGAGCTCCAGAATTTCCTGGGCTTATCTTTGCTTTTGTGTTCATACGTGTTTACCCTCTGCCTTCTTTTATCTCATTCTCTACATGGCAGGTAGGTAAACATAAATCTTTGGAAAAAGAAATAGCTTTCTTACATGCTAGCACTGAGCATAATTTTAAGTAAGTACCATATTGTCTACATGTCTGGAGTTGTTCTAGCTATAATGCGCGTGGTCTGTTATCTTCTTTGTCCACTAGATGGCAGAGACTGAGCTTTTAGTTTTGGTTTTGGTTTTGTTTTTAGGTTAGCTATGAGGGTTGATACAGGATAGCAGAAAAAGGATGTTAAGTTTGATCTGAAAGTGTTGACTATGTTTTCACTAAATATAGCAGCAAGTGTTAAGAGCTAAGTTTTTTAAACACCCCTCAGTTTACCTGGTCTTTTGCTTGTTGAAATATCAATATAATCTACATAAAGTATAGCATGAACTTCTTAAATTTATAATTATAACTAAACTTTCACCTTTCACAGAGGTGGAATTTTAGCTCTTACTTAAACTGTTCATATTAGAGACAATAAGAAATGTTTTAGATAAACACAGATCAACGTGTACATAGCACAAAAATTACTTCCTAGTCCTAAATCCATTTATTTTGAAGAGAAAATCACATTGCTTATAAGTAGTCTATATCATCCCTTGACTCTCCATATGGTTTTTACCTTACAATTAAGAAATCACATTAAAAGAACAAAAACTTAGATAATGGCCCTTGTTTGTTTTTCTGTTCCCAAAGGTCACACCTTATTTTAAACAAGAAAAAGGATAACTCCTTTTCTTGTTCTCCCCTTTAAGAAAGGCAAACGGAGCTGTGTGGGGTCATTGAGACGGACTGAGGGGAAAAGCCTCAGTTTAATAGGGTGGTAAAATGTCTTGTGGAGATGAAGTACTGGGATTCCCACAGTGTGAGCCTCGGAGTGAGTGTCGGAGTCCAACATTAATTCAGCTTGTCGTGGGGCTGGCCAGTCAGCGTACCGTCCTAACCTCTGTTTTCCTGTTACCGGTGAAGCAGGTTTCCACTGCTTTCCTCTGTTCATCTGTGATAACAGCTGCGACTCTGTCCCCTTCTTCGCCTGTCACTCAGTTTCCTAATCTGACTCTCAGCTGAAGGAGACACTTTTGATTATGCTTGTCCACACGTAACATTGACCCAAGCCAGTGGGTCCCAGCACGGGAGCTCTTCTTCACGTCGGCTATCTTGCGGTCCTAGCCACATACAATAGTTGTGTATTGACTCTGTTCTGACTGAGAAAATGTGTAAGAATGAAGAAAAGAATCTAGTAACACTTGGGTTCTTCTTTAAGGTTGAATATGTCATAGAACTCCTGTAGAAGTAGCTAGATTTGCAGGCATCTGTTTCTATTAAGGGGGCCTCCCTGGTGGTTCAGGGGTGAAGAATCCGCCTGCCAGTGCAGATGTGGGTTCAGTCCCTGGGTTGGGACGATCCCCTGGAGAAAGAAATGGCAACTTGTTTCAGTAGTCTTGCCTGGAGAATCCCACAGACAGAGGAGCCTGGCAGGCTGTACAGTCCATGGGGTCGCAAGAGTTGGACATGACTTAGCGATTAAACTACCACCACCATTTCTGTTAAAAACTGGATTGCTTTTTAAAAAGCTAATATCATTTTAATAGTACTTTCAAATAAACATGTGTCTTATTAATCACAATAATTTGAAACATAGCATTAAATAAAGGTGTGAGGTTTGTTATTTATTCAGATAACTCCACACGCTTGATATACAAACAAGACACCCTGGGGTGTTCTGTGCATGGGTCAGAACCCTAGGTCTTGGATTCGCTCGTCTTCCATGTTTGAGGAATTGAACTAAGTGACTGAGTGATATACCACACTTCTTTTTGGCAACTGGACTATAAGAGAGAGTTTATATAAGTGAATGGTTAGTATTATCTTAATTTATGCCAATCATACATAATTAACAATTGATTATAGTGGCAGAATTACATATGAGGGAGAAAATTATAAATACAAATTTCTCTGTATCTTCAAAATCATGTTTTCAGTGATTATTAGTTCTCAGCTTTGTTTTTAAAAGTGTGTGCTACATACTGGAGATTGTTGTCTAAGTTTTGTATATTAGACTTTTTTATTCTTGTGTACAATGCATGCTCTTACAAGACTGTTGAATATATAGCAGCTGTCATAAAAACTAACTATGTGAAAATGTGTTTCTCTTCTTTTCCTCCTCTGGATTCTTTTTTAAAATAAATTTTCCTTCTAGGTGGTAAGTTTTTAATCCATAATTTTGGATGTAGCTTCTCTTGCATCATGATTGCCTGAATTATGGTACAGTGTCTGATTTACTAGCATGGCTCCTATGAAAGTGAATCATTCACAAAGAATATAAAGTGAATTATTTCTAATATCTTCCCCTTTCACCCTCTCCTTATACTATACTGCCTAGGCCTCACCTCTCATGACTTAGTCCAGAGCCAGAGTAATCCTCCTGGGAAATGAACTAACAAACCACTTCCCTTTTCTTCCCTGCCATTGTGTCGTAATAGCAGTGTAACAGCATGACCTTTCTAAGCAGTGCTGAGAGAGCTTGCCCTCATGCTCTCAGTGGGGAAGGTGTAACCCGGGAGGTTCTCTTCTTAGGGCTGGTCTTTGAGAATCTTCCTGTGCTATGGAATGATGTGTTGAAAATGCATTGGCATGGGCCTTGGTTCTTCCTGCTAATCTTACTAATAAAATGGTAGAAGGTATACTAACATAGGAAGTCTAACACAGTGTTGTATGTTGGAATGCCTTTCTAGCTCCCCCTTTTCTAGTTCATTCTATCATTAAACAAACACTTTGGTGCTTATGCTCCACTCCAAGTTCGCTGCCATCTGGGTAAGGATCAGAAGCCAGATGGAGTGGTGTTGGTCGGCTCACCACCCTTAGCAGGTTCCCTACAGAGGTGGTGAGACGTGACTGAGGTGCTGTGGCAGAGAAGCAGTGGGGGAGGGGGTCTCTTAATGACATAGTTCCACTAAGTGGGCCGCAAAAAAGCAGCCTGCAATATATACAGTATTTTTGGGAGATATTCAGTCAGATGTTATAGTCATATCATTGGAACTAAAGAATGGTGATTCCCTTCTGTACCTACTTTAAAAAATATGAATGATTTTTACCGTTCTTATAGCAATAATATGAATTTACTTATCTGCAAGTAGTTTACTAACCTTCATTAAATAAGTATTTTATAATTGTGGTCACATTTGCTAAGTAATCTCTTTTATTTTTAAAATGCCCCTTCTTCTTCTATGAAGTCCGTATGTAAGTTAGACTTGTACATACAGATCAATTTCTATCAAAACAATAAACAGATTTATTTTTCTCTTGCCCTCTTGGAACTAAGTTGTATTGGGTGTTGTTACTATCAACAAGCAGAGAGTTGAAACTCTATTTTTTAAAGCCTTGCATTTTATTGGAAATAGTATGAATAAAATGATTTATCATGTTAGAATAAATTCATGCCTTTTCCTTTTCTGGGCTAATCTGCAGGTATGCTGTATTAACTTCAAGTATCTCACTTGTACTCCAGTCATATTCAAAATGCAGCCTCTTGAATTCAAGACTGAAGACAGGCAGCAGGGCCGGGACAGTGGTCAGGAGCGTCTCAGAACTGGACCCTGAAATGGGAGGAAGTTTTAGAAATGGAGCTGAGTTGCAGTAGAGAGTGGGGTAGGTGGAAGCATAGGAGTTGGCCGGTTTCACAGCTAAAAGTTGGAAGCCACCCACAAGGCAGTACTGCCCAGGTCAGGCCGTGGTCAGAGGCAGAGCCAGGGCATTGTTGTAAATCAGGATTTTGTGACAAAATCTGCCCTTTAACACTGAGGCTCGGGATTTTGAGTGACAATTTTATCTGGAGCGTGTCTGTGCTTTCTGGCAGAGCCAGGCCTCCTACCGCCCCCGCCCCGGCATGCATGGGGGTGGGGAGGGGCGTGTGGTCCTTCTGGAGCGGTGGCTGCCCGTCTGGGCTGGCGCCTGCAGATGCTCGGCCTGCTGCTCAGTATGTTCAGGTTTGTTGCACGAGGCAGGGCCTTACTGGTTTTTTGGGGGGTTGCATTATAGGTTGGATAAGGGGTAAAACCACAGCAAGGACACTAGTGGTAGAGGGAAGAAAGAAGTCAAGGAATACAGTACAGTGTTTGTAACAGGATGATGTTAAAACGTTGTGTGGCTCCACTGGAGATAGATCTTAGGAACTCGTTATTTTTCAATTTGTAAACTGCATGGATAATTGTGATCATTCAAAGATGGACTCTCTAGGACACTGAAATTTTGAAGGCTGGGTTAAATATTTGGTTATTATCAGAAGTGGAAAATGGCTATTGGAAGACTTGCGATTGAAGAATTTTAATGCTTTTCCTTTTCACGCCGTGCCGTCTGGTCTCTCCACCCTCAGAGCAGCGCGGATCTCCGTGAGGTTGCTGGGTAGTCCTTTAACACCTCAGGAAGCCTCTGTGGGCGCCTGCGGTTGTCGTCCTGGTAACTGACGTCTGCCCCTCCTGCGACACTGTGGTCTCTGGGGACCCCTCTTGGTGTCCCTGCCGCCCCGTGTCCCCGGTCCCTCTTCCAGGAGCGCCAGCGCGGGCTGCAGTTTCTTCTTCTATCGGACCCCTGCCCTCTGTGGACTTCCAGCCATGGGTGATACTTATTTCTGCTAAGCCTCCCCCCTTGGAGTCCTCTCTTACAGCCCGTGGTGCTGCGTCCTTCCTTTTACAGTTGGACTCTGCGGCCACAGCGACTCCTCCAGGCTCTCATCACTGTCAGAGTGGCAACTGCCTAGAGTTTTAGTGGGAATCCTTACTGACGCGCATCAGAATCAATCATGCATGGGTGGATCTTCCTGGCTCTCATCACTCCTCAAGCTGACAGCCTCCCTTTGCATTTTCCTTCCCTGCATTCCTTCCTCCCTGTCCC